GATACTTAACAAAGGTTCTCATTCACCTTGTTCGTATGGATTTGGAGTGTGCAGACGCCTCTATCCTTGATAAAAAATTGAGCCCATTTGGTCGAGCCCTAATGGAGATATTCAAACTTTTTTTCCTTGTCTTGTTACTTATGGGACACCCTGTATATTGTCATTTTTCTTCTTCTTTATAGAGTATGTCTCTAAATGGACAAATAATAATATTGTTGCGTCTTGTTGATTTCTTTTTCTAAATTATTAGTCTGAAGGAGAAAATATAAGGCTATACAATAAAAAAAAAGGGAGTGTTTTGTATCGACTGACAATTCTCTCATTGATGTTTTAGTATGAAGGAAGCCAATATAGAGAATTGATCTAAAGTGTTTTTTTGAACATTAATTATACAATAATTTGCTTCATTTTAGTTTCAATATATTAAAAATTATTCAAACGAATAACAACAACAAAAGGTATATAAATTTTTATTTCTTTCAAATTCTTTCTTTTTTTCTTGTCTGTATGTTTCAATTTTTGTTTGCATATACATACATCATTTCTTTTGTTGTTTTGATTTATTTATCAAGAGAAAAGACGAGAGAAAGAGAGAAAGAAAAAAAAAAAAGGAAAAATGAATGAAGTAAGATGTTCGTGATTGTCAGGGTTGGTTTATATTTATTTTCTTTGAGGTTTTGAATAATCATGATCATAGTATTAAATTAATAAAACAAACAGATAGAATAACTGGATCGAAGAAAAACTTATTACCAATCAACGTTCATCATCACAAGAAGTATAAAAATTTATTTATTAAGAAATAGAAAATTATTATTATTATTATTATTCTTACATAATAGATTATAAATGAATATCATGAAGAATTAAGAATAAACTAAAAAAAAATACAAATAGAATGGAAAATATTATTCAACAAAATGCAATTTTATCTCAATCGAATCAAGATTCACGATTAAATCGTTCATTAGAAACAAGTCAAGTTGTTGCGGTTGCTGCATCTATTAATTTAAAAGTATAAAGTCTTTTGAAAATAATATAATTTTTTTTCTTGTTATAAATTATGTACTTTTAAATATTATTGTTATAGAATCTTCTTTCTTATCAAGATGTTATGAATGCAATTGAACGTGATTATCATTTACATGAAGGACAAGAACGTGAAATAATTATGAAATTATGGTTAAAAGGACAAACAATGATTGCAATTTTACAACGTTTTAGATATTTATTACAAGATCTTCATATAGATGATAAAGATTTTTCTGAAGGATTAAAAGTTTGTATAAATAATATTCACAATAATTTATTCAATATTTACAAAAAAAATTCTGTTAATACATATTTAACTATTGTTTATTCAAAATATGATTTAGATTTTTTTCTGCTACATAAAACATATTCATATTTTCTTAAACAAAAAAAAAGGATTATAACTAATATGTTTTTATGTATTCGAAATACATATATATATTTTTTTTTTGTTGTACTGTTATTCTGAAGTATGTGTATGGGAATGAGATTTAATTTCTACATATTGTTATTGTATTCTTTAAACACTTGTAAGATATCTTTCTCAGACGGCTATTCTATTTATATGTAATAAGTATCTTGTTGATTTTTTTTTCTTTTTGATCTAGAGATCGATTACATTTGAATTGTTTTTTTTTGTTTTTATTTAGCAAATACGTGAAAAACTAAATTATGCTCATCGTGATGTATATTATCTTCAAGAAAAAAATCTTATACTTAAAAATCAAAATCATTTTCTTGAAAATGAATTTAAACGACAATTAGATAAAATAGTTGAAGAAAAAAATGAACATATTAATCGACTTATACATATTATTGATCAAACATATACACGATCAACTCAAATAAATAATCATATTAATGATGAATATTATTCATCAAGTAAATAAATAAATAAATTTGATTATATTCTAAAAGTTAAAATAATAGACATCAAATATTTAATTAGTAGAAAAAAAAATATAATGATCATATTATTTTTTTGCTTTCCTATGAAACCTTTTTACTATTCAACAAAATGGATTCTATATGTAATTGAGAATAAGAATAAGAATAAGAATAAGTATATTTTATGTATACGTTATAATAATGAAAAATTCAAAGTCTCATCTAAATCTAAATTTTAACCAAGGTATGAATTGAAGTATACTTTTACATATCTCATTATACAAAATAAACTAACCTTGTGATTACTATTGAGCAAGGTAATTTCGATTAATTGGAGAATTTTTCCTACAGTTAACAAACTTCAAATATAATCAAATTATAACAATAGAAACAGGGCTAATTTGATATCGAATTTTGTTTTTTTTTGCTTAGTAAGATCTTTATTAGAGCTCATCGGATTAATCTCGAACTCGAGATTTTTACTATTGTTTGATTCTGTCATTACATTTCAAAATATATTTTGTAAACTTTTTTTATGATTGTTAAAAACAAAATTTCTCTTTTTTTCATTTCATTGTTTATAGTTTTGATTGGAATATGTAAAATATCTATATATTTGATTTCTTATAGTCATATATATAGTAGCAGTAAGATTAAATCTAAAAACCTATTGCAGATTTGAAGTAAATGTTATAATAAACGTTAAGATTAATCACAAAATAAAAATTCAATTTCTTTTTTACAAAAAGTATGCTTCTGCATAAGAACATACATCAATTAGTTAAATTCCCGTATTTAGAATTTTGTTTAAGAATAAAGCAATGAAATAAAATAGGTTAAATATGAGTCAAAACTGTACAACATTTATTAATGTCCATTTCAGAGTTAAATGGCCGTGGGCATTTTTTGAATAACTTTTGATAGGAACGAGATAGAAATCTCCGATTTTCACCGTTGGAAAGAACAGATGAAGTCGCATAACTATTTTCCTATAGGTTTAGTCAAAAGTTTTCAAAGAATTGCTTGTTGTCTCCTATGTTTAAAAAGTGGCTTTTCTATCAAAATACGACAAAAATTTACATTTTTCGATTATTTTGTTGAAAAAAAATGAAGTGGTAAATTGTGTTTCGTTGGTTTACATATCATACTGGTAGTAGTTAGGAACAGCGTCTTGATATAGTTTTGTAGCTCTTCCTTTGGCGATTCTAGAGCACTCCTGAAAATCAATAAATTGATATCGTGACCATGAGAAGCATGCTGTTTTTCTTGAACTTTTATATAAAATCTATAGGAAAGTAGTTAGAAAAATCTTTCTATATATATAATTCGATGCGTCTTCATCTGCTCTTTCCAACGGTGAAAACCGGAGATCTCTAACTCGTTCCTATCAAAAGTTATTCAAAAAATGCTCACGTCCATTTAACTCTGAAATAGACATTAGTTACATGTAATAATAATAATGTCGTAGTTGATGGTTTCTTCTATTGTATACTTTTTATTGTTATTTATCGAATAACAAAGAAGATATATCTTTAGTAAAAACTATCGTATATCGAACTTCTCAACTATTATTATAATTAGTTGTACGGATTCGTCTGAGGTTAAACAATAAGATATACCAACTATAGTTTTGATGATGGACATAAGAAGAGAAGAAAAAGAAAATTCTCGGTTAGAATTAAAGATCATTATTAAACGGAGTATGTTATATTCTTACGGTAGGCTTGTAATTCAATATCGTAATTCCCTTTTTCTTGTTAAGTTACTTCTAATTTTAGTAATTCTTTTTTTTTTTTAAATGTAAATTTATCATTCCTAGAAAAAAATTGATATTTGATATCAAGATTATAGTAAAAAATTCTCTATAGAAGATCTTTGCTTCATTCTTATTATCTTCTAATGATACTAAAATACTGATAAATATATGTTGACTTGTATACTTTTGAGATAAAACATTCACTTTTATTCTCAGATATATTCTAACAAATATAATATTATTAATTTATCATTTCTTAAATATGAGAAAGACTAATTTTTTTTTTGTATTTTGAAACTTTTCATAGAGAATAGAAATACTTAATTAATTCAATTCTATATTTTATTAGAAGCTGAAAAATTATCAAAAAAAGTTATGGAACAAAATATTGAATTACAACATGAAATTGAAACATTTCGTTCTAAACTTGATTATATTGTAACATATATTAATCAAAAATTGGATCAACAAAAAATAATAACGACAACATCAACATCATCATCTTTATCTATACATCAATTAGTATTTGAAACTATGCAACAAACAGAAATGAAATTACTTGAATTTAAATTAAAATTTATTTCACAACAAGAAGAAAATGATCTTTTAAAATATTTAGTATGTATTATTAAAATTTAAAAACAAAAAAAAGTAAAATTTAATTTAAATAATATTAGATGGAAAAATCACAAAATATATCAGATATTGAACAAACAAAATTATTTTCTATTATTCAACAACGTTCACTTGAACGTGAAATTGATCTTGTTCGTCAAGAACTTGAAATTACAGAGAAAAAAACTATTCAATTTGAACAAACAGTATAATTGCATTCTTTTCTTTTTTTGGATTGATATTTAAAATATTCATAATTTTTTAGTTTGATAATTCAGATGAAGGAATTAAATTTCATATGGAAAATCTTAAATTAAAATGTGATGTATTACATAAACATATTCTAACATGTAGTCAACGATTAGATGATATTAATAAACAAAATCTTATGAAATTAACAAATGAAAATCAAATATTGACGTATGATGAATAAATTTCTTTTAATAAATTTTTTTATATAAATATATTTTATATTAGAATAAAAATATTGAACTTGAATTTGAATTATTACGTTTACGTGAACGTTATAATGAATTAATTGAACATACAAATACACTTAAATATGAATTAAATAATGCACAAAAACAATTACATGAAAAAGAAAAAGAAAAAGTAAATATTAACTTATGAATATTATTAATTTTCTTAATACTTAAATATCTTATTATATTTGTATAGAAACTAAGTAAAAATATATCCTAAAATAGATCGAATAAAACAATCAATCGATGATTAACAACTAGGTATCGGTGGGATCATCTTTTCTTTCTTTTGGTCCTGGTTTCAATTTAAAACTTTTTATTGTTTCTAGAAAAAAAAACGACTTTTCTTATAATCTGTATGATTTTTTGAATATATATAAAATGAATATTGATGATTTTGAGAAATTAACAATCCTAGGTCGAAGATTCCGGTCACCGGATCCTGTAGGAAAGATGCGGGAAAATTCACCGTATCCTGCACGAAAACACTGAAAGTCGCCGGAACAGGATGGCAGTATTCCGGCCGGAAAAGTTTCGGATTTTTTCCGGACAACTTCCTGAAGAAAACGGGAGGAATTTGATCGGAAGTCACCGAAAAAATCCGAAAAGTGTCCAGCCGGAATACTGCCACCCTGTTCCAATAACCTCCAGTGTTTTTCTGCGGGAACCCACTCGTACTTCTCGACCTGGGCATAAATAAATAAAAAAGGCCTAATTGTAGATCATTAGTCAGAACAGAATAATAAATATGGAAATAGGTAGTCTAGTTCTGGAACAGAAAATATTACGGGACCAGTTTTAAGTCCCGGTTCAAAGATTACATTAACAGATTTCTTTTATCAAATTTAAAGTAAAAAAAAAAGTCAAGATAATCATTTCGATTGGAAATGTTATTGCTAAAAAGTTCTTATCATAAGTGGTTCACATATTGTAATAAAAGAAAAAAAACTCCTGAAAGTGCCAATGGCGCAAGACGCCATCATATTGAATGCCGCCGACATACGTGAAATCACTCTCACAATTCATTACAATGAATACCGACTTAATATTATTTAATAAACAAAAAATGAAAACATTCCTAAAGAAAAACGTCTCAAATTTGAGTACCATTCGAACTCTTCAAAAGTGCTCAGTTTCTATTTTCGTCTTTCTAACAATTAATTAATTGCACGTTCTTTTTTTTTTAATCAAAGGTAAATCAGCTCGTGTTGATATGATTTAATGTCATAAGCTATTAATATAAAAAATATCGACAAGATGTTATATCAAATACTGTTGTTGTTTTTTTATCTAATTAGTCAATATTGTTTATCATAGTATCATTTATGTTACTCACATTATGGAAATTGTATGTTATTATTCATGTCACAATGAGAAAATTTTATCGTATATATATATATATAGCCATGATTTATTTTCTGTCAAGAACAAATTACTTTGTTTTTTTTGTTTAAAATTTTATTTGTTTTAATTAATATATTTATTAATAAATATAGATTGAACCAAATTTAAATGTTGATTTGGAAAAAGAACGACGACGTGCAGATGAATTTGAAAATGATTATAAATCTTTAAAAATAAAATATGATGATGTATGTGAACGTATTCGTATAGCTACACATCAATTAGAACATGTACAAATTGTACTTGAAGAAACATCACGTCGTTGTGAACAATTAGAAAAAGAAAAGGTAAAGAAAAAAAATACAAAAAATAATAATAATAATAATTTCATTCTCTTACATATCGCGTACATATTATTCTATGATTTGACTAGTTCAGCTACGGAAAAAATTGGTATTAATACATATGATTTATTATTGCTGCTCCTTTTTTTCTCTTCGTGTTTTTCTATTCACTATTAAATTTCTTAGATAAAATATTTCCATAAGCACATTTTTCTGCACTTATTTTTTTTTTCTTTTATCTTATATATAATACTCCTCTAGACTGAGACGATGAATCCAATATAATTATTTATATATAGATTAAAATAATTTTGTATTGTCATTTACTTTTTGTTCTAGTCTGAAATTAATGCTCAATCTGAATATCTTTCACAAAATGTTCTTAATGTAACATCAAAATATAAAGATAAATTAAATATAATTAAAGTTCGTTGGTAAGTCTTTATTTAGAATCCCAAAAAAAAAGAACAAGATTAAAGAAATTTTGATTATTATTATAGAGAACAAGCAGAACGTGAAAAACGTGAAGTACAACTTCATAATGAAAAATTTCAAAATGATAGACAGCCGTTTGATGTAAAAAAGTTTGATATGGTTTCATCATGTCAATTTAATTACTTTTTGAATTGTTAAACAAAATGACTGCTGGTTCAATATCTGCTCCATCAATAATTCCATTACGTGTTGGATATACATAAAAATCTTCCATTGATACAAATACATTGATTGAAATACGTAGTGATACAAATGATGTTGATATTTATTATACATTAGATGGTTCAAAACCAGATGCATTTATAACATTAACAACACGACGTTCGACTATACAATATAAAAAAAACCATTTTATATACCAAGAGATATAGCTAATACAGGCATCACGGTAAAGATTTTGAGAAAACAAAAAAATCAGTTTGAAGAATTTTTATTTTTTTTTTATTAAAATTTATTTAGTGATGGAATTCGAGAAAGTGTTATGGTAACAAAAATATTTGATGTTAAAATTATTCCATCAGATCATTCATTATCGGATGAATATGAAAATCGATATTTATATGAATTACAACAAGAACGAAAGGTAAAAAATTTCAATATGATAGATAATAAATAAATTCAATAGAAATTTACTTATCTCATGTTTATTGAAATACTGTATAGAATACTTTTTTTATTATGAAATCATACCTATTTTTATACGAAATGTACAATGAATTTGAATCAAGTGAAAAGATATTATTTCTAGTATTTATTGAAGTAATTTGAAAAAGCATATTTTAGAAAAAGATGAGATTTCATTAAAAGAAATTATGAACTCGATTTTTATAGAAAACATATCTGAATACATTGAATTTTTCATAAAATATTACGAAAATAAAATAATCTGTTGTATATACCAGCAAGTTTATGTGTCATTATAAATGACTAATCAAGATGTTAAAGTTTAATTAAATATTCAATTTTTTCAATATAAATATATTTTACTTGGCAAAAATATTTATCTTTAATTTTATTAAAAGAAAAATTGATATTCAAGAATGTCTCGATATCTCAAGAGTTCAATTAGAAGATCACTAATATAATAGTAGTAATTTAATGCTTGTCTATCGATATTACTTCATTAAAATGTTTTTTTTTTCTATGAAGTTCAAAACTTATCAAAGTCATTGACACATCTTCAATTTTAGTTTTTAAATTTCGATTTGAAACTTTACATAGAGATAGATGTTAACGAAAATAATTTATTGCAAAATATTTTTCATTTCGCCGATAAGAATATATCTAAAAAACAATTTGTAAATATACAATTAGTAAAGCAATCGAACTTTTTTCTACATATTTAATTCAGTTAAATATTTATTAATTGATTTTATAATTTTACTTCAATAGGAATTAACGAGAAAGATGCAAAAATGAAAATGAACAAATGCAACAAAAATTATCTGGTATCAAAAAAAATAAAGTAATTTTATTTATTATTAATCAAATTTCTATATAGAATCAATGCGTCGTTCAACAATTGATTCATTAGTACAAGAAAATCCAACTAATTATACATATTCAAATTCTCAAATACAAACAAATGTTTTAAGGTTTATCGAAACAAAATTATTTTATTATTTGAGCTTTGTTTTCTCTTTTCTAGATGTGCACATTGTTTTGCACCTAAATCAAATGATTTATATACACGATTTTGTACGGAATGTGGTCTACCTTGGCAAAAACTAACTCATAATCCACCGGATAATTATTTAGTAATTCAAAATAACTCTATCGGATATGATGACTACCCTTCATTTGAAAAAAAGAAACTACCTAATCCCATTCTGTTGAACAACTCATAGTTATTTACGAAATTATTTTTTCATAGAAGTCATTATACCAGCTAAGATATATAAGAGCAATGATGAGTAATATGATCTCAAAAATAACCTATATCTGACATATATATATGAGTCTTTCGAAAACAGTAAAAAAACGTTTTTCTCTTTCAGAATCTTGATAAAGCTATTAATTCTTATAAGAAACCCGAACATATGTTGAATGTGATAGAACTACATATCCGAATCACATTCGATGTTCTGAAGCCTAAAAACAAAAAGAAAAGTCATATATTTTTCTATTCTCAGAAATCACACTTATAGAACACGGAAAAAGTTGCATAGCTGGTTGCCTTTGTCCTCGACAGTCATATCTTACAACAGCCATCATTGCTATAATACCTGTTAACTAGTAACCCTCCCCCCAGAATAAAAGTGCATGCCCTTATACAGGGTCTTGGCACATCGCTATTTTTTGGATGGCCTTCTATTGGGGGTCAATTTTTGGTCAGTTTTTAATTAAAATCATTTAAAAAATTAATAATTAATTAATAACTTTAATTATTGTTTTTTGCTGAAAAAACTACCATTTTTTGTAAAAACTGTACTATTTATGATAGGAAAGGAAGGATTTCGCAAAAAAACATTAGAAAATCGGTTATATTTCCTTAATTGGGGGGGGGGGGGGGTATATGACTTTTCAGAACTGTAAAATTTGATAAAGAGTATATCCTTCGACGAATCATGTATTGTTCTACATAACAGTATTAATTACTTTACAAATGAATAGTAGTTATCTTATTTTACACGGATAATTTTTCTTTAATTAGACTAATATATGTACAAATTGTAAATCTACTATTCTATTTAATTCTAACACATGTGTTGTATGTGAAACACCAGTATCCAAAGAACCACAACAGCGACCAACTTCTCAAAATCAGGTTTCAAAAAAATTAATCAAATTTTAATGTTCCTCTCTAGACAAGAATTCTATGTCCTCATTGTAAATCAACAAATTCAATACATTTACGAACATGTTATATTTGTGAAAATGTATTAATACCAACATCAACACCACCAGTAAACAAAAAAAAAAATCTTATTTATTTTTTTTCCGTATTTATATTTCAATAGGAAAAACGAACTTCAATTTCAATTCCAACAATATCAAAACAAACAAATACAATGATGATAACATGTTCAAAATGTTTTCGTTTAAATAATCCTAATGCTCGTTTTTGTGATTGGTGTGGTGCATATCCTGAACATACATCTACATCAATACAATGTACAAAATGTCATACTAATAACGCTTCATTTGGAAAATTTTGTTCAACATGTGGATGTGTTATTGAACCACCATTACATATTATTGATACACGTCTTTAAAATGATTTGAATATTTCATCATCATCAATGATTGCTAGTGTATATTAAAATTAGAGAATAAAAAGAAAACAAAAAAAAAAGATTCTTATTTTCTATAGACATTAACACGTAATTCAGTTAATCCTCATCAATCATATTCAACAATTAAAAAAGAAGTTGCAACACAAACATATGGAATTTATTATCCAAGTGCAAAAGATATTGATTTAATTATAACACAAAATAAAAAATTATTAAATGAAAAAGAATTAAAAGAATATCGTCCAATATTAACATCTACAAGTCCAGGAAAAGGATATTGGCGACAACAATTAGATCATATTTGTGCTCATTTAAAAACTTATGCAGTTAATCGACCAGATTTTCAATCATTGATTGGTAAAGATCTTTAATATTTAAAAAAACAAATACTTTTATTTTGTTATAATGAATAATAATTATTATTTAAAATATAAATTCTCTCTCTATATATACATATATCTTATATATTAATATTAAAAAAGTTTATATATTATTTAATTATTTTTTTTAGGTAAACCACGTATGGGTAATATGATTCATGCAACTGTACATGAAAATGAATATCAAGTAACTATACAAACAGTATTTCGTAAACCAGAAAAATCTTTCACAATCACCATTTTTTATTAATGAAACAAATGAATATTATCCAATAAATAGTGAACGAAGTTCACCATATTCAAATACAATTTATTCTGATAGTAAGCAAAAATATTCTTTGCAAAAAAAAACTTTGTTTTTTACATAGATGAATATCCAAGAGAAAAATCACAACGAACAAAAGTAAAACATCGTAATAAAAAAGGACCGTATGTTCTATATATATATATATATCGAGATTTTAATATCAATTGAAATCAAAGATTGATTGTGTATTTTTTCTTTTTTTGTTCAGATAAAAATTGATATTCAAAATGTTAAGAAATATTGATTTTGTTTTGTTTTGTAGACGAGGTAATACAACATTACATGAATGTTGTTTATTAGGACTTGATGGTGCTGAACCATTAAGAATTCTTCTCAAGTAAGTTTATATTTTTTAATTAGAAATTAAATAAGAAAATAATAAAATTTAATTTTTTTTTTGATAAAAGACATGGAGGTGATGCATCTTGGTTAAATGATAAAAATGAAAGTGTTATTGATATAGCAGCAAAACAAAATTGTCCAGAATTATTACAAGCTTTTTCTAAATATCAAAGTGAAAAAATGCTTAAACAACATATGAAAAATTCTTATGATGATCATACAAGAATAAAAACTATTCATGATCATCATTCATCAGAAAAATTATAAAGAAAAGAAAAAATAAAAGTTTTTTTTTTCTTTCTTCATATTGGATAATAGTTGATGAATGTTTGTTTTTAGTTTTTTTTATTATTGTTTTTTCTTAGCAACTGGGTGCTTTGTGTTTTAAATTCTTTCTTTGATACAAAATCTTACTGGGGATTAACAAAACTAATAAATAATGTAAAATAAAATAGAAATAAAAAATATGAATTAATTTTTAGTACGACTAATGTAGATGGTTATTATTTTAAGTCTTCTTCACTTTATCATTACGATAAAATTCGCTAAATTCTGAGTTAGATCGACTTATTGTTAGGATGATTTGTAATCTATATTGATCAAGATTTTATTAATAAAATCTTAGAGGTTGAAAAACGATAAAGTTTACAAAAAGAAGGGACTTGTTATCAGCAAAATTGTCCGTACTTTCTTATAAAATTCTATTTTATATTACATATTTTGTCGATATCAGCAACCTTTGGCTAATAGTATAAAACCTTCTAATGCATTTTGTACTGTATACAACGAGATTTAGCTATGTTTGATGTCTTCAGAAAGATTAAGTTATAGAATGTTTTCATGGAAAATACTTGATTTATTTGCTTATATATTCAACTGATCTATATGAAAAATTAAGCTGTTTTAGTTCTCTGCTGAATAGAATGTGAATATATGAGAAACAATTATTTCTTGCTTTTCTTTACATAAGGATATGATTCATGTCGCATACCATTAAATCTGGACAATAGGGTATGGTGTGGATGAAGAGAATATCTACATTCAAATCAGAAAAAGTAAATTTTATTGGTACATATCAATATGTATCCAAAAGACTTTCTTTGTCCAAAAATGAATTAACAGTTTTTTTTCATACGATATAATCACAAAGAGTATACTTTCACACTAATAAAAGAAATATCGTATGTTTACACTTTGATACGTTAAATATCTTTTTTGTTGTAGGAAATCGAATTACTATTTTTTCGATAAGATTCAGCCGTATCAAAGTGATCCAATCTCGATCATTGATTTATTTTTCAACATGTTTTTTGGACTAAATTTTACTACAGTACGATACATTTTATTTTAGTATTTTGACTGAGCCAAATGCCAGACGTCAAATTTATCGATGATAGAAAATATTTCATATTGTTTTGTGTTTTCTTTTCTCGAAATGAAGGTTTTTGAAACAGTCATTCTCATTGATATCACTCAGATGCTTTCTTACGGTGAAAATAAGAAACTCTTGAACGGTCGTTCGATTTTAATGATCTTTTTAACATTATACTAATCATACTTCGTACATAGATTCTAACGTTCTTTTAACACACAGGGCAGAAATTTTCTCATTGTCACTGTGATGCACATTAAAATTGTACGAATCTCACATGTGGACAAACACAATTTGAATATTAGTTTTTTATGAATCTTGGATATCAATGGAACAAGATGTCTTTTTATTATACCATATATATTCCAAATGAGTTTAATATAAATTCAAAAAACATATTAACAAGCTTATGAGTGATGATAAATTCATTCTGTCAGTCTTACTGAGATACGGTCATGATTACATTTCACACACTGAAAAAACGGGAATATAGTAGTACTTGTCTAATACTACTTGGAAATAAAATGCAACTTTCATTATCACATATGGCATCAGTATCCAGAAATAAAACTATTTTCATTCAAATAATAACTGTTCTATCGAAATAGAAAAAAAAACCAAAGATTAATTTTATTTTAAGAATTGATTTGAATTAGAATTGAAACTGTGTAGCAGTATGTGACACGAGTAAAGTTCATAACTGCAAGTCGACAATTTTTAAAATATTGTAATAGCAAATCAATAAAAGCTTGCACGGGTTTCATTCCTAAATACATAGATAAATATTTTTCTGAGTATAATGAATATTTTGTTTATATAAAGGGAATTTTCTGTCTTTCTAACGACCACTTTTAAACCATGTAAGTATCGATGGAAAGAACTCTACAAAAAATGCAAAAGAGATGAAAATAATGACATTATAAATGTAACTAATATCATGATAAATATGAATCATATGTAATTAATAAAAACCTAAAATAATTCATTGTAATACACTGTAAAAATTAACTGAATAATTGTAATCACATAGTAATTCATTTCCAAGTAAGATTTCTTTTTCTTTGTACTGTCCTTTCCATCAACAGTTAAATATTTGAAAATCGTGATTTGTATTAACAAAATATTTATTATACTCAGAAAAAACTTATTTCTCAATATATATGACGTAAAAATCTCAAAATATCTACACATTTTAGTACTTTCATTGAATTCATAATACGTACTTCAATACTCAATTATATTCGAACTATTATTATTTTACTTGAACAACTCGTGAATGATGAACAGTATATTGGGGGAGCAAGCAGAAACTGTTGTTCTATTGTTGTTTGTAACAATATTGAATTTATTCTTCATTTTCTTCTACTCACATTATCAGACAGCAAGTCTTATGCATAATAAAAAAATAAAACTGACAATATCTTTATTTGTTTCGAGATAATGAAAGACAAATAAAAACTGAATGAGATAAGACATCCAACGCACTGACTTTCAAGTGACTATTAACTACGTATATAGATGATAAGAAAACGAAAGTTGGAAAGAATAACCATAAAATAAATGATATTGCTGGGTTTTTTTTCTCTACCTTTTGTTACTGACAACGATACTTTTAATAACATCCAGGTTAACTTTGACCTTGAGTTTCAAAGTGTGCGGGTGTGAGTGTAGCTTATTCTTCTTCAATCACACACACGCACAACTACACATCACTACCCCAAACACTCACACCATCTACACCCTACGTCATAGGCGGCGGAACCTAAAGACTGTGTGAGGCATAAGTCTTACCCAAATTTGGCGTCTGCAGGCTCAGCCTTGCCCAAATTATGAATTCGTTTTTTTTTTGCACGATGGTTTAGACTTATCTTATCAGTTGAATATTATTTCAGTTCGAAGAATGGAACTTCTAATACGTTTATTTATATGTTGTGATAAAGAAAACTAAGAAATTCAGACAATAATAAACTCACTAACTACGTTCTTATGGTTTACAGCAATACCTTCTATCTCATTTACATAAAGTGATATGTGTACTAGGCCAACTGTAGAATTATGCGATCAAAAGACATCAAAACTAGCTATATTTGAGTGTCCTGTCATTCTCTTTAACGTATTCAGTGAAATATATCCACAGTAATTGTTAAAAATGTCAGCAAATATACCAACTAAAATACAGTGTCCAACGAGTTTATTTGCATACTTATCTGAATGTGTAGCTCTCTTGTTTTTGAATGCCTCGGCATTATCATTTAACTAGTGCGTTAGAAGATTATTATCTTAGTCTTGCTAAGGAAAGTGTGATTTCATGTTTACATGAAAATCAAACAGGTAAACAGTACTTTCTTTTGATCATAGTCATAAAATCAATAATTTAGATTATAAACAGTGGGAGCATGAAAACGATGTACAGATTGATTTTGGAATATTTTACTAAAAAAGTAAAAGGTGCAACAACATCTGTGTTTATAGAAGAAATTGCTTTAACTGATCTTGCAACAAGTTCTCGAGACGAAGCTCGTGAAGCATCTTCTGTACCTCAAACTATGCCTCTTGTTAATCAATTAAATAGTGTCCATATTTATATCGTCAAACAAAAAAGACAAGCTTTTTTTTGTTTAATATTTTAATATGAAATACATAGTTCTTGTGTTTTTTGGAATTTTCGTCCTTCTACAAAGATTTAGAAACTCTACCAGTAAAGAACAGAATACGTTAGCACAATAACTTTCTGACAGCAAAACAATTAAATATTTTGGAATGATTTATCATCTGAAATTCGCTCAGATTACCTCATGCTGATATGTGATATGTCATTTTAGGATAGCAAATAAACTTCAATTGAGCCTCACCCAACTTCAAAACGTTCCGCCGCCCCTGATATACGTTGTTACTCTTCTCCAACATAAGATCGCACTCGCCTACAAATTTACGACGATAACATCCTCGATCTCTATCCTTGTGTCGTTCTTCTTGCTATCATTTTATTTACTGGTTCAGAGTCTCTTCTTATCTTGCATTGTAAACCTCGTTTCATAAGAACAACGAAAGTCCATGTACAAAAGCAAACAATAGATAATTTTCTCAAGATAAACTAGGCGGGGTTTATCTTCAATAATAAAAAATACCCACATTTGACGTCGAAGAGATATTTAGACAGAATAACAGCGCACACCAAATATATAAATAGTAAAGGTGATCTTTGTAGAAACCACAGTCTAGTATTCACGATATTCAATCATCAATTCAACGACAAGTTATATCACATATGGGTGGAAAAAACTCCAAAAAAGCTATTGTCCTTTCAACAGCAGGTGCTAGTGCAATTACAGCAGCTTCATCGACAGCCATGCTGCGAAGAGAGCGCATGGCCGAAAATTATTTGGTCATCTGGGTCGATGGAAATATCGACATGGCAAATGAAGATTGCCAAAATACAATGGAACAATTACGTGCTGTCGTCAATCAAGTTAATCCATGTAAGACAGCTGAACAATGCATACAACAGCTTATGGACAATCAAGAGGAGATCTCATTTGTTATCTCCTCAGGTGCACTTGGAGAACATTTAGTGCCGGACATTCATGATATGGCAAAATTAAATGCCATTTTTATATTTTGTGGCAATAAACAACGGCATCAAGTATGGGCACAAAATTGGCCGAAAATAAAAGGTGTTCACACAACAATCAAACATATTTGCGACAAATTGGCAACAGCAATCAAACAATACAATCAAGATCACATGTCGGTAAGCATTGTTAGTGTGAATGCAGGAGGTTCTAGCAAGAATCTAGATCAGCTAGAACCTTCTTTTATGTATTCACAAATATTCAAGGAAATACTACTTGAAATCGAACATGAACAACAAGCTGTCCAAGATTTGGTCACCTACTGCCAAGAACAATATCAAGGCAATAAGAATGAAATGAAAATTATCAATGAATTTCAACGTAATTATAAAGCATCCGACGCCATTTGGTGGTATACACGCCAATGTTTTACCTACAAAATGTTGAATGGCGCATTAAGAACACTCAATGGTGATATAATGATCCGAATGGGTTTCTTTTTATGTGATGTGCATCGACAAATTGAACATTTACACAAACAACAGGTCAGTCACTCTGATGGAGAGATCTTCAATGTCTTTCGAGGGCAAGGCCTATCGAAAGCAGATTTTGAAAAGCTCGCAGAAAACAAAGGTGGGCTTATTTCTTTTAACAACTTTTTATCTACCAGCACAAATTCAGATGTCTCAATCGATTTCGCCAAAGAAGCCTTGAAAATGACGGATATGGTTGGAATTCTATTCCAAATAACCATTGATCCTACAGTATCATCAACTCCATTCGCCTCCATTCGAGAGGTGAGCTATTATAAGGACGAAGAAGAAATTCTCTTCTCCATGCACACCGTCTTTCGCATTGGTGAAGTGCGAAAACTTGACAACAATCGTGCACTTTATCAAGTCGATTTGAAACTTACGTCAGATGATGATCCACAACTTCGAGAATTAACTGACTACATACGAAAAGAGGTCAGCGGCACTGGATGGCGTCGAATGGGTGAATTGTTACTCAAAATAGGTCAATTCGACAAGGCCGAAGAACTATATATGACACTACTAGAACAGGCATCGAATGATAGCGATAGATCATATATTAGTAACATGCTTGGATGGGTGAACAGCAACCAAGGACAATACGAACAAGCAGTAGCATTTTACAAACAATCTCTGAAAATCAACGAGAAAACTCTTCCCGAAGATCATCCCTCATTGGCTACTTCATACAGCAACATCGGTCAAGTGTATAATAACATGGGTGACTACTCGAAAGCACTTGAATTTTACGAAAAAACACTTAAAATCGACGAGAAAACTCTGCCTCCGAATCATCCGCATTTGGCTACTTCATACAGCAACATCGGTGGAGTGTACAGTGACATGGGTGACTACTCGAAAGCACTTGAATTTTACGAAAAATCACTTAAAATAAGAAAAAAAGCTCTGCCTTCGAATCATCCTGATTTGGCTACTTCATACAGCAACATCGGTGGAGTGTACAGCGACATGGGTGACTACTCGAAAGCACTTGAATTTTACGAAAAAACACTTAAAATCGACGAGAAAACTCTGCCTCCGAATCATCCGCATTTGGCTACTTCATACAGCAACATCGGTGGAGTGTACAGTGACATGGGTGACTACTCGAAAGCACTTGAATTTTACGAAAAATCACT